AAAAAAAAAAAAAGTAGAATTTGTGGGTTTAATAGGACAGTAAATGAAGGGACAGTAATAATAATAATAAACAACAACAACAACGATAATAAACAAAACAATTGATGCACAATACAATTGCTCACCACCTGCTGAATGATACCCAGCCAGTTCCCAAGCAGCGATCGCAGCCTCCCGGCCAACTCCCTCCAGTTTATATACCAAGCATGACATCATATGGTATAGAATAGCCCTTTGGTCAGTTTGGATCAACTCTCTTAGCTGTGCCCCCTCCCAGCTTCTTGTGCACCTGGCAGAGCATGGGAAGCTGAAAAGTCCTTCACTAGTATAAACGCTACTTAGCAACAACTAAACCATCGGTGTGTTATCAGCATTATTCTCATACCAAATTCAAAACACAGCACTATGCCAGCCAGTAGGAAGAAAATTAACTCTATCCCAGCTGAAACTAGGACACTAGGGCTCTTTTTGCCACCCTAAAATCAAGTCAAATAGCTACAGCTCTGATCCGGAAACAAGCATTTAAAGAACCCCACCGCAATGCAAGCAGCAGAAAGGCCACTGTTTGAGTTCCAAGGAGAATTAATTTTGAAACAGTAGTGCCTTCTGGATGCCTTTGGTTAAGTGCAGTGCTGTACGGCTCCTCCGGCCCCGCAGGAGGCCAAGAGGGGAACCCTGGAAGGAGCCACCGTGCCAGCGAGGGACACAGTAAGCCAGAAAATCAGGTTTGGGGAAGGTGTCTAAGATATAGTCAGAGCAAAGTACTTCAAAATTGTTCACACTGGATTTACCCAAGAGTAAAGAAAACCTGACACTAACTGTGTCTTAGCTTTTATTTAAAAGGCGGAGACAAGAATACTAGTTCTGTGCAGTCCTTTAAAGGAGCAGTGATCATCAGGCCTGCTTTTTTCCCCCCCTCCCATATATTTCTACCTCAGGCTACCCACACCCGTTTTTAGCGCTGGCAGCACTTTGCTTACGTGGCCACCGAGTCCTCCCTGATGCTTCTGTTGCCAGGACTTGTCAAAGCCACCAGAACTACCCTCTCTGCGATACAAGTTTAACTTCTGCAAGCCATGGGCCTGAAAACCCCAGCCCAGAGACCCAGCTGTGAAAGACTGTCAGTAACACAGATGTCTGCCAG